AATGGTACTATTTCCTTCTTCTTTATAGCTGAGTAATACTCCATTGTGTAAATGTACCAAAGTTTCTTAATCCAGTCATCTACTGATGGGCATTTTTGTTGTTTCCAAGTCTTAGCTATTGTGAATAACGCCGCAGTGAACATAGGGGTACATTTATTTTTTCAGATTAATGTCTTGGGATTTTTTGGATAAATACCTAAGAGTGGGATTGCTGGGTCATAAGGTAGTTCCATTTCCAGATTTTTGAGGTACCTCCATAGGTTTGGGATTCTTATGAGCATGTGTGATGTAGTTTTTTTCAGAAAAATTTCCAGTTTAAACCAACTTAATGAAAGATAACAGTTAATTAACTTTGACTGGGCAAAGAAGTTAGGAAAATATTTATGATAGCTAATGAAATGGAGTATCTTTTCATGTGCTTATTGACTATTTGAATATCTTCTTTGGAGAGCTATCCAGGTCATTTGCACATTTTTAAATTTGGTTATTTGTCTTTTTATTATTGAATTGTAAGAGTTCTTTATATATTCTGGATACTAGAATATGTAAAGTATTTTGTAAGTGATTTGTGATTTGCAAATAATTTCCCTCCTTCTCCAGGGCTGTTTTCACTTTTTGAGCATGTTCTTTGCTGTACAAAGTTTTACTAAAGTCCAATTTGTCAATGTTTTCTTTTCTTGCTTGTGCTTTTAGCGTCATATTTAAGTAACAACTGCCTAATTCAAGGTCAGCAAGATATACTCCTATGTTTTCTTCTAGGAGTTTTATGGTTTTAACTCTTACATGTTGGTCTCTTACGGATTTTGAGTTAATTTTTGCATATGAGGTGAGGTAAGGATTCATTCCTTGCACGTGGCTATCCCCTTGTCCCAGCACCATTAGTTGGAAAGACTCTTCTTTCCCCATTGAATTGTACCAGCATCGTTGTCCACTGTACGCAGGTTTAACTTGTCATTGGTAACTCGGTGATTTCAGTGTCAGTATGTGTTAGCTTTAGTTTACCTGCTCAGTCCTCAGTCTGTTGCTCTAAGTTGTCAAACGAAATCATATTGAGCCTGAGATATCTGTATTAATGTTGTTTCAAAATTCATGGTACCATTTGATTTATGTTGCATTGGGTATGGTTTTTTGTTTGTTTGTTTGTTTTTTGTGCTTTTTTTTGTTGTTGTTTTTTTATTGGGGAATTGAGGGGATGGGAACAGCGCTGGAGAATTAGGGGAAGGGGAACAGACAAGTTGCTGTCCTTTTGTTCTTCAGTCTAGTTGTGGAGGANAGGGCAGTGTCACTGGCCCTCATATGTGGGATCCGAACCAGGGCCCTCTGGCATCCCAAGCCAGTTCTTAACCATCGCGCCGCTCGGCCGGCCCAGGGCCACATTTTATAATCTAACTGAGGGCCGTTTGAGTGGCTCAGTTGGTTAAGAATTCGCTCAAAAGCTTGAGCTCTGAGCAACAGCGGTTTGAGTCTGGCCCGAGCTGAGCTGCCATTGAGCTGCCAACAGGTGGCAGGATGGCTCAGCTAAAAAAACAAAAAAACAACACTATATATAATCTAACTGAAATCCTAGCTTTTTTTTTTTTTTTTTAATCCTCTAGGAATTAAAACTAGTGTTTATTTCTTTCCCATCCTGATCAGTCCCACCATTTAGTATCTTTCAGGGCTGGAATTGTGCAGGGCAGAAAAACAGTAAAATTCATGCTTTGTTTTAAGACAAGAGGCCTGGACCGCCCATAGTTGTTGCATCTGTTCCTGTGTCAGCATCTCATGTAGGCACACAGGACGGGTGTTTTCTTCAGATGCAGTGAGGAGTAGTGGGAGGAACATGGGTTTGGGGGCCAGCCAGGCCCCTTTTAGGCCAGTTGTGTCCTCTCTGGGAGCCTCCCTTTCCATAGGGCTGCTGGGGTGATTACAGAGAGAAAGGGTGTTAAGTTTTCCCAACTTAGTTGTTGCTCGGGCAGTTTTCTTCTCTTCTCCGTCTTTTCATTGAGATCTCTTCTGGTTCTATATCACAAACTTAGCAGTACTTAGTCAAATGGTCAAGAATAATAAAAGCGTCTAAAAAAGGGCCATGTCTTCTGAATCTTATTTTTTCTATTCTCTAGGAAGCTGAAAATACTCTCCGACTGATGCAGAACAAGCTGAAGGAAGAAGAAAAGCGACTGCTCAAGAGTGGAAGTAAGTTACACTGTTTAGATAAATGTGTTGATTCTGGAGTGGCATTTTTAGCCTTGAAAAATTGATATGTATATTTTATTATTTTTTTTCTTTGAGTGTTTTTATTTATTTATTTATTTTTTAGCTGAGCCATCCTGCTACCTGTTGGCAGCTCAGCGGCAACTCAGCTTGGGCTGGGCATCGAACCGCTGTTGCTCAGAGCTCGCACTATATTTTGTTTATTTTCAAAAGGCAATTTTCTCGCAGCTTTTTTATCAAATACCATCTTAATTCACTCAAGAGCTCAAGAGACTGGTTTAAATTACATAGCATTTAAAGCACATTGGTTTTCATGCAAAACATAGTGTTTTCCCCTGTTTAAATGATAGTAGTTTGAATTAAATGTAATATAGAATTATAAAAGAAAATTTGGTCTTGGAGGCCTATAGAGTTCCTTATTTTAGGGCAGACTGATGGAAAACAAGCATCGTAATGCAGCACAAGTGAATAGGTCACTTGCTTAAAGGTTCCCTCCCCCCCCATCTTCACACCCATCTTCAGCAAGGCTGTTATACGTGGGTCACCCTCTTTAAAGAGAAATGAGGTTGACCCACGTATAAGACCTAGATCTGGAAGGAATGTTCTCCATGATTGGTTAGTGCACTTCATCCATGAACCTCACCAAGGTGACAAGTCAGTCTCAGGATCTTCCTGCTGAGTTGACAGCTTTGTCTTGGAGAGTTGCTTCTCTTCTTGCTTATTGCTCTCTTTTTTGATGATAATGATATGTCTTACTCTCTCATGCGTGAGGGTGGTATACCTGGAATATCAGGTGTGCGTTCGCTCTCCTGCTCTCCTGCCTCTCTCTTCCCTTTGTACCTCTCTCCTTTTGTACTTGGTCTATGCCTCTCTCTCCTGAATCTCAGGAAATTCTGGAAAGAGAATAGGGACTGCTGGGAAATCCTCTAGGGGTAAGTTTAGGAAAAATTCTAAGGGCCTCTCTAGCCAAAGCAGCCCCTCACCTTGATGGTTCTAGGTTGGCCAGGAGAGCCCGAAGCCGCCCTTAGTGATAAGCCTGTGTGGAGTCTGTCCCCTCCAGGGAGGCCTGGCCCCAATAAGAGTTCTGGTTCATTGGCTGCATCCTGCTCTGCCCCCAGGCCAGCACCTTAAGACCTTTCTTACTGATCTTGCTTTATTCTAATGAATTCAGACTTTCATTCTGTGATCCATAGGTTTGGGATTCTTGGGGTTTTTTTTGGAAGGTTGGTTATTTTATTTTATTTTATTTTATTATTTTTTATTGTTAGTTTCAGGTGTACAGAACAATGCAATAGTTACCCTTTTCACCCTCACATAGTAACAATCCCCCTCCCCCCATGTACTGCACTCCCTCTCCTGATATCATGCTTATCTATTACAATTCCATTGATTCCATTCCCACTCTCTACTCCATGTCCCATGACTATATGTATATATAATTATAGTTGACATACA